GTAGAAATTGTGCATAGAAAATGTGCATATTAGTTTTGTGTCATATGATCAAAGACTGTCAAATACAACTTGCAATTAATATAACTAGTTATAGTGCATCGATATCGTATTTGTATAAAGTTATATAAATTAGGTCCTGACAGATTTTTTTTTAAATACTTACGGTGTAGTATTCAGTTTTCATTCCGCAAAACGCTGTTTTTTAAAATAAATGTTTGTTACTAAATATCACTAACAAAGCTCGTACTTCTCGATTCCATCATTTCACGATGTATAATATGATCTTCAGGAAGAATATAAGGCATAATTGTTATCTATAGACCTGGAAATAACCATGGCAGAGGCTCCATAGGGGAATTTTATGTATACTTTATCACTGTATGATACAACCGACTAGTTCGCGCTTCAATATTCTTTTCTGTGAAGTTGTATTTTTGGATCGAGAAATGAAATGGCTCCATTTGTTAAAAAATAATTTGTAAATAAATATTTTTTCAACATTTTAAGAAAATGTTCTTTAAGCATTGGGTGAAACATATTATGCTGAATTGTTTTAAAAACTTTTTTTAAAAACATACAAAATCACGCGATTAAAACATTAAAAAATGTTTTTGCAACATTTTTAAAGAAAATTTTTGTAAAACATTGGCTGCAACATTATGCGAAACTGTTTTAAAACGTTTTTTAAAGAACTACACAAAATCACTTGATGAAAATTTATAAAAATTGTTTTTGCAACATTTTGAAAATATTTCAAAAACATTTTTAAAATGATTTTTTGTAAGCTGGGGTGTTATATATTATTTTTTTTAACAATACTTACGATGTATTCTGTGCACATTCTGCAAAACTTTGTTATTTAAAATAAATGTTCGTCACGATGTGAACTAAATGTCACTAACTTCGCTGCCTAGTACTTCTCGATTCCATCATTTCACGATGTATATAATTTGATCTTCAGGAAGAATATCAAGGCATACTAGTTATTTATAGACCTGGAAATAACCATGGCCTAGGCTCCGTAAGGGATTTTTTATATACTTGTATATATACACTGTATGATACAACCGACTTGCTCGCGCTCGGTCGATATTCTTTTCTGTGAAGTTGTATTTATGGATCGAGAAATGAAATGGCTCCGTTTGTTAATAAACTTCCGCTATTATTTAAAGATTGGGTTTATTGTTGTTGTCCTATTCCTCTTGTCTTTCACTCTTCAGTCTTCCTCAAACTTCTTCCATTTTAAGCAGTAAACCAATCGATCATTTGGAATATGAAGGATGGTGTCCTGTTAAAATGATATGCAATAAATTTTCGAATTTCAAATTTCACTCTCAGGGTAAACTTTCCTAAATCTAAGTATGTTTCAAGGTTATCTCGAATCATGGGATATCTAAAACTTCTGCTCTTACCCACTGGTTAAGTTTTCATTGCTCTTGTCCACTGGTTTAGTTTCCATTGCTCTTGTCCACTGGTTTAGTTTTCATTTCTCTTGTCCACCGGTTTAGTTTCCATTGCTCTTGTCCACTGGTTTAGTTTCCATTGCTCTTCTCCACTGGTTTAGTTTCCATTGCTCTTGTCCACTGGTTTAGTTTCCATTTCTCTTGTCCACTGGTTTAGTTTCCATTGCTCTTGCCCAGTGGTTTAGTTTCCATCGCTCTTACCCACTGGTTTAGTTTTCATTGCTCTTGTCCATTGGTTTAGTTTCCATTTCTCTTGTTCACTGGTTTAGTTTCCATTTCTCATGCCCAGTGGTTTAGTTTCCATCGCTCTTACCCACTGGTTTAGTTTTCATTGCTCTTGTCCACTGGTTTAGTTTCCATTTCTCTTGTTCACTGGTTTAGTTTCCATTTTCATGCCCATTGGTTTAGTTTCCATCACTCTTACCCACTGGTTTAGTTTTCATTGCTCTTGTCCACTGGTTTAGTTTCCATTTCTGTTGTTCACTGGTTTAGTTTCCATTGCTCTTGCCCAGTGGTTTAGTTTCCATCGCTCTTACCCACTGGTTTAGTTTTCATTGCTCTTGTCCACTGGTTTAGTATCCATTTCTCTTGTTTACTGGTTTAGTTTCCATTTCTCATGCCCATTGGTTTAGTTTCCATCGCTCTTACCCACTGGTTTAGTTTTCATTGCTCTTGTTCACTGGTTTAGTTTCCATTTCTCATGCCCATTGGTTTAGTTTCCATTGCTCTTGTCTAGTTGTAATTTGATACCATTGCTTTTTTTCCATTGGTTTGGTTTCCATTGCTTTTTTTCCATTGATTTGGTTTCCATTACTTTTTTCCATTGATTTGGTTTCCATTGCTTTTCTTCCATTGGTTTGGTTTCCATTGCTTTTTTTCCATTGGTTTGGTTTCCATTGCTCTTGTCCACTGGTTTAGTTTCCATTGCTCTTATCTAGTTGTATTTTGTTTCTATTGCTCTAGTCCACTGGTTTTGAATCTTTTTTCTGATACTTCTCAATTTTGAGAAGACTTTGATCACCTCTTATGGCCCTACCGTATTTCTGTGCTTTGTAATTAAGTTTTCGGATAATTTAAAACTATTTGAATCAGTGATTTTGAATTACTATTTATTTTAACCTTTAGATTTATTTAAATAAGCATAAAGAGTATATGGTATATCTATACATACATGTACATCTTCACGAATATTATATTCAGAGTAAATACTAGTACTCTTATACACATGCACATTACTTAAATGTAAAAGTTGTTTCAATAAAGAGGAAAAAATAAGAAAAGGGGATAAAGAGAGGGAAAACGACAGGAGGGAGAAAGTAGAGAGCAACAGGTATAGAAGCAAAGTGTTTTTTAACATTAAGGACATACGCAAGGTACCTTACCTACTGATAATTTTTCAAGATATTCTAAATTTAAACTTATTATACCATTATATGTTCTTAGACAAAAAATCAGCATATGTTACCAGGGGTTTTGAAAAAATATGAAATTATGAAAAATTTTGCATTTATCAAAGAAAAATGTACAAAAATTACAAGACATAAATTCCAGATTTTTTCCCCCTTAAAATTTGTTTTAGAAGAGGTGTACAAATCTATATATTGACATTAAAAGTATTGCACACAGGTTCTTCATTTAGTGGAACTCTTCAACTCCCGGGAAGAACCCAATAAAGTTCAAACTATGTTGCGTATGACCTTAAAGAGCTGTTGGAGTAGGACACAATAGTTAGGCCAAATTTTTCCTCAAATTCATTTTTTTTTTTAAACTTTGATATTTTGTTCTAGGATACAAAATCTCTCTTTATATATGATATGAAAGAAATACAACCACGCATTTTTAGCCCACATAGTCTGAAATATGGCCTATCAGACCCCTGTAAGAAGTTTGTGAAATCAGTCACTCGACTTGAGAATGATCCTTATTTTAGAATTATCAATTTATCTATTGCAGATTTGTGTAATAACTTTTGACTTTCCTTCAACTGGCATCGAAATTTCATAAAAATATTATGGATTCTTTTGAAAATTACGCCAGGCGATAGGCCAGATCAAAGAGAAGACATTGACACTTCGACAGAATGGATTAAATGTGTCAGATCCCTGTTTAAGTCGCATATTGAAAGATTGAGGGGCAACATGAAAACCATCTATCCTTCTGTTTTCAATAATCCAGAAGTGAAAAAAGAATTAGATAAATTACATGATTAGTACGTACTGGTCCCGGCCGACAAAGCAGGTTACAACATTGTCGTCGTTCTATGACCAGCGGGTGTGACCGGTTGACAGGGGATGCTCACTCCTCCATGGCACCTGATCTCACCTCTGATGTTAAGGAGGTCCGTGTTTGCTCAGCTCCTATTTCGTATTGTTTTATGGACTTTGATATTGAATACAATTCGTTATCTCCATATCCTTCTTTGTACATTCAAGGCTCATTATTTAAATTGTATTTTAGAAGAATTTGGATTTAATTCCACAATTCCTAATCCTTCTTATTCTCATACTTCCCTTCCTAAGGAAGAAATTCTATATAATTATATGTCAGTTTTGAATATTTTTAATATTCCACAGAGCCAAAATGAATTTGAACTACAATATATATGTTAGATTTATAAGAATCCTTACAAACAAAGATACATTGCGGGTTCCAGTAAATGTTCAACCAAGCCTTCTTCGTTACTCTCCACTAAGATATTGACAGTAGTGAAGGAAAAACTTTAAGAGTACTGTGCAACAATATATTCAAGAAGTGGTGTGAATCAGATATGGATACTAAACAATTCCAAAGATCTTTTGGACAATTTGAAATCACAAGAATTTACCAAAATCAACAGCTTAAAAACTTACGACTTTTCAACTTTATACACAACCCTTCCCCACGGCAAATTAAAGTCCAGGCTTTTGATATCATTGACATCTGCTTTTTTAAAAATAAAAATGGAACTCGTAAATTTACATACCTGGTCATTTGTAATAGGCAAAATTATTTTGTTAAAACACATTCTGATTGCACACACAAGTATTCTGAAGTTGACATTAGAAAGATACTTGAGTTTCTGATTGACAATATCTATATGGTTTTTGAAGACCATGTCTTCCAACAATGTATTGGAATTCCCATGGGTACAAATTGCGCTCCGTTATTAGCAGACCTATTTCTGTATAAATATGAAGCAGAATTTGTGCAAAATCTTATGTGAAAAAAAGAAAACACTTGCCGTGGCCTTCAACCCGACATTAAGATATATCAACGATGTATTGTCAATTAACAATGGTCAATTCTATTCCTACGTCGATATATCCTGAAGAGATTGAGATAAAAGATACCACAGAGTCTGACACATCTGTTTCATTAACTTTTCTATCGTCAACTTCCTTTACTTATGCAGCAATATACCTTCATCACCTGCATACGGAGTGTATATATCTCAGTTGATTCGATACGCAGAGGCACGTTCTGCGTACGAACAATTTCTAAAACGAGGTAAATTATTGACAAACAAGTTTATAAACCAACAATATCAGCAGTCTCGTTTAATGTCATCATTTCGTAAGTTCTATGGTCGATACAATCACCTTGTCAGCAAATACAATTTATCATGAAGTTAAATGCTGACTGACGTTTTTCATACTTATTATTAGTCCATTATTTATACTTTGAATTGACGACGGATTTTTCCGTTATTTCAGGAGATGCTCACTCCTCCAAGGCGGCGTCTGATCCCACCTCTGATGTTTAGGAGGTCCGTGCTTTTTCGGCTCCTATTTTGTATTGTTTGATGGACTTTGAAGTTGAATACTGTTCGTTACCTCCATATCCTTCTTTTACTGCGATGACGGGTATAGCCAGGGCAAATATGACAGGAAAACAAAATTGTCATCCATTTAAAAAGTTATAATTTTCTGTAATGTAACATCATGAACAGATTTATCAAATTCTGAACATCAAATATAATTTAGAATTTTTAAATAGAAAAACCTTTACAAAATCTCTCTTGAAGAGACTTCTTAAACTTCAGACTGGTATTTGATAATTTCATTATTGCATCATTAAATTTAACTGGAGGCCTATTGGCCACCTCTTCTTCTGTGCATTGATTCTTCATTCTCCTAGTAGTATGGAGAGTCTAGAGACAAACTCTCGGACATTTCTTGTCTTATTACGCCAGCCCCAGATCAAAACGTACCACCACAAAGTAAATAGTAAGTATTCCCGCCACAAAGGCAAGAAGACTGAAGAAGTACGACAATCTCCGAAGAGTAATTCCACTGTCAAACATCCGTTCATTGAAAGAATCGATTGCCTGCAATTAAAGAAAAGAATCAAATCAGTCCAAATTTAAAAATAATGAAATTTAAATTTATCATAAAATGAATACATGTTTGAACACTTTCAACATCAAACGGAATAACTAAGATAATAAAAACAAGAGGTCCATGGGCCACATCGCTCACCTGAGAAGCTTTGGCCATTCTGTTCTTTACCAGATTTCCCCCTTGTAATACATATTGTGACCCCATCCTACCTCATTGATCATAATTTAGACAATTTGAAATCTACACTACCTCAGGATGCTTCCACATAAGTTTCAGCTTTTCTGGCCCAGTGGTTCTTGAGAAGAAGATTTTTATAAATTTTTCCTATATATTTCTATGTAAAACTTTTATTCCCAATTGTGGCCCCGCCCTATCCCCAAGGGTCCTGGTTTGAAAATTTTAAAATCTACACTACCCAAGGATGCTTCCACATAGGTTTTAGCTTTTCTGGCCCAGTGGTTCTTGAAAAGAAGATTTTTGAAGATTTTTCCTATATATTTCTATGTCAAACTTTGATTCCCTATTGTGGCCCCGCCCTACCCCCGAGAGTCATGATTAGAACAATTTAGAATCTACACTACCTCAGAATGCTTCCACATAAGTATCAGCTTTTCTGGCCCAGTGATTCTTGAGAAGAAGATTTTCAAAGATTTCTCCTTATTATTTCCATGTAAAACTTTGATTCCCCATTGTAGCTCCGCCCTACCCTCGGGGGTCATGATTTGAACAGTTTAGAATCTACACTACTTCAGGATGCTTCCAAATAAGTTTCAGCTTTAATAGCCCGGTGGTTCTTGAGTAGAAGATTTTTGAAGTTTTTCCTATATATTTCTATGTCAAACTTTGATTCCCCATTGTGGCCCCGCCCAACCCCTGGGGGTTATGATTTGAAAGATTTAGAATCTACACTATCCCAGGATGTTTCTAAATAAGTATCAGCTTTTCTGGCCCAGTGGTTCTTGAGAAGAAGATTTTTTAATGACCCACTCTTTTTTTGTCTTTTCTCGATTATCTCCCCTTGTGAGGGGGATTGGCCCTTTATTTTAACAATTTGTATTCCCTTTTACCCTAGAATGCTTTGTACCAAGTTTGGTAAAAATTAACCCAGTGGTTCTTGAGAAGAAGTCGAAAATGTGAAAAGTTTATAGCCGGACGGACGGACAGAAGGAAAGACGGACGGACGACGGACAAAATGTGATCAGAAAAACTCACCTGAGCCGATCATGTAAGTTTAATATTTGTTGGTTGTAAAATGTACTTAAAAAACCTTTAATTTCATTGCAACTGTATGTCGGTAACGATTCTTGAATGAAACTGCCCAAATAAGTGTATCTCACTTCCATTCTCAATGACTGTGTACTATAGGGCGGCGCTGCGAGAAATCCATTGGCATCGAAGCCAGTTTTATGCCCCCGTAAACGAAGTCCTGTCCGTCCGTCTAATTGTCGGTCGCTCTGTCTAGCTGTTTGTCCGTTTTTCCACAAAATTTTTTAACCTTGTTCATTACTTTTGACGGGATTGAGCTGCAATTATCTACCTACTTTGAATTATATACTTTCATGAAGCAAAATTGTTCAATTTTATCTCCTTTATATAAATCGGGCTATTTTAATACATGTAACCCATAAAAAAGAATTTGCCTTTCTAGCCCCCTTCCCTAGATCCGCACATGCTTTTTTCCTTAAGCGGGGTTACGATCGCTGAATTAGCTTGTTATATATTTACTATGCGATGGGATGCTCCGCCACTAAGCGAACCTATCTAAAGTTTTACCTCGTTTGCACAGTAAATGGCGCCGAGTCCTAGTAATACATTGCAGCAACAGCAGGTGAGGACTCCGATTATCCAGGCCAGATCAGCACTCTCCCTGCGGTCTGTCTGTACAACAATGGGAGTGGGAGAGAACTGAAATAACAGAAGGGTCACTTTGTAAAATATATTTATGGACAATATTATTTCAATCCTATCAAATGCTTTCAGAAAGACAAAGTTGAATACATATGTATCACGAAAGGAGAAAATGTAAGTCTGGAGCTGGAATCGAATCCGGGACCTCTGCATCACTAATCAGATGCTCTACCACTGAATTCTACCGTCTAATCTTTTAATTGTCCTCTCTCCCAAGTTTTAATTCCCCTGGCTGGACGTTTGCCTACAAGCTCAGGGGTAATAAACGACAGTAAATAATGTATAAAGTAACATTAAAGGAGAAAACAATCAAAACATATAGTTGGTTCACCATCCTGCACCACTCGTCAGGTGCTCTGAGTTATCCAGACCGATATTCACGACCCAATGCATCACACATTGGGCTTTGGTAAAAAGTCTCATTTTTGCTCCCTCTCACATGAGGATCATACATGCGGATTTTGAAAAAAAATAAACGCGATGGTTATAGAAAAAAAACTTATTTGCTCTTATTTCAAAACGTTCATTGTTGTGTTTTATACAAATAGTAAATGTCAGTTTGAATTTCATCCAGTGGCTTCGACATTATTAAATGTTGAGTAACAATATTAGAAATATTTTACCAGTGTCCCTGGCTGTGTGGTTGTAATGGCCCTTTCGTAATCTACAGAAAAGGTAATAATGATATCATCATTTCATGCATTTTTGGTACATGTCAGCTGAAAGCATGCTAACCGCTTTTCAGTACTTTCAGTACTTTGATTAATTAAATGGCTGAATCAAGTGCACGTTTAGATATTATTGTCTTTAGAAAAAAAAACAACGATATTTTCGATGCTACATGTAGGCAATTTAAAATATGAATAATTATATTGAAAACTTAAGGAATATAAAATTTATCAACTGACGCACGTTTTTCAGCTTGTTCCTCCGTCTCTGAGAGCAACAAGGCCTCATGCATACTAGAGTCCATGTCCTGAAAGAAATTCAATGTTTTTTACTTTTACTAAGACCAGCAAGAGTGACTCAAATATCAGAATCTGAAACAGAATCACAAACCTGTTTTCTTTTGGTGTTATTTAGTGGAAATCTAAACGCAAAGAAACAGGAAGTTTTTGGATTATTTGGGGATTTAACTAGCACAAAAAAGCAGGATATTGAAGTAATTAAATAAAAAACATATTCTTTAAATAGTAATCAAAGAACTACGAGTACCCAGAGGCGGAAGCATTATTTTCTTGGGCACAATCTTTATATGCTTATCAAGAAATCAAAGTACTGAAAGTACTGGGAAGCGCTAAGCATATTGATTTGGAATTCGTCAGAATTATTTTAATTTAAAATTCCTGTTGTAATAAATTCTAAGCGATATTTTGACAGTGCGATAGCGCTAGGTCGAGCGCAGTTGTCAAAAAGTATGTGAGTCTTGATTATGTGAACCCCGTTGGGATATGAAATTCAACATTGTCTCATGCCTTTTTTTTCAAGCATTATACATTTTCTTCGTATGTCAAAAGATCAATCAATTTCACTTGCAGTACTGTACAAGAAATTGCAAGAAAATATTTTTCCGTGTAAAATTATTTTCTTTCGTGATGGTAATCGAGTTTTTCGATCAAATTTAAACTCTAAATGTACATGTAGCTATACTGTCTTCCTATAAATTTTTATCAAAATAGAAAATTTGGTGTTAACACTAAATTTTCTATTGTAATAAAAAATTGTGGGAAGACAATACTTTTGCTGGAAAATGTATACATTGTATTTGAAAAAAAAATGTTAACACTTGAAAATGTCGCTAAAATTCCTCTTACGCTAAAATTCCTTTTACGTGCAACACTGAAAGAAAAAATTTTCTGGTGATCATATTTAATAACAAATTCATTCTGCGGTTACAAGTTTTTCATATTGAAGATTGGCATCATGTTTATAACTACATCATAGGTAAATGAAATTAACATCCGTAGAATTAACGCCCTTTATGTCAGAGATAATATGTAATTATACATTTTAATATAAAGATATTATATTTATCTTTTGATGCTATCCCGTAATCTCCGATTTTTAAATATATGATTTATAGCGTACATGTATTTGCAGTAACATTTGTGTTATATACAATATGTGTCACTCATTAGTAAATGATACGTTTTTGCAATAAAAATTTTACACTTTTCTTCTTGTGATTAAAAATACGTCAAACCTGTCATACGTTAAACTCCCAAAAGAATTTTTTGCAGCACGGTGGACCGGGCTGCTTTATACATATAAGTTTAAGTGTTGGTGTATGGGGATTGGGGTGGGAGTAGTTATGTAGAATTAAAGGTATTCTAAATATTGAAAAGATTGTTAATCAGAATGTTCTTTCCGTTTATAAATTACGAGATACATAAAATATATTTACTTCCATAAAGTGAATCTGTAAAATATATATGTTTTTCATATTTAATATATAAAGTTACTTATCATTTACTATCGAAACAGCGACAGGTCCCTTTTTTTAGAACATCGAATTTTACTTCTCGGATAAAAACATACCCTGCACAGTTCGTGCTTTTATATTCTAAAATTGAAAATTAATACATTTTTAGATATAAATGCGTGTGTCTAACTTCAATTTATATTTTATGCAGCCAACATTTACTTGAGGAATTGATAAAGTTTAAAATGGTATCGTTTTTGATTGATTTTTATCCGACTACATTCACAACGATTTTTTAAAATTAAAAATATATTTGCGACTATCGTCTCCATCAATTAGACGCATGCCTTTTTACACATATCGAAGCGATTTGTTGATCAAGAATCATTTTCGTTGTTTACTTTATATATTTCCCGGGCGACAGTTGATGGTAACATCAATGTTTTCTTGTGACTATTGTTGAAATAATTTAAAATGCTTTAGTCGGACGTCTGGTGCTTTTCACCATTCTTTACATGTGTATGTATGATCTTCACTACCATGCAAAACATGTTGAGACGAAAAACATATCTACGGCATTGTTGTGCTAGTTAAAAAGGAATACTGTAAATTATTGCTCATAATATTTCGGCTATTTTAATAATTATTAATTCAAGAGTCTAAGAAAGAAAATACAGTATTAATAAATCTTCATGAAGGTATACTTTATTCTGTTTTTATTTAGTCTTCATTAAGAATCGGCAACACAGCTGAGACACATCTTTACATAAACTATTTAATCCTAGTTCCCTACTTCAAGTATTACACCGTTTTTTTAGAAACATTTTATCAGCCCAATTTCTGTCCATTGCTAAGAACGCTTATTAAAGGTTAAGCATTTTTCGCCATATCCTGCACACTACACGCACACACGCAATACATGTATTCAGAGAAATAAGTTTTACTATTTGTTTAGATTCGTTGAAAACACATCCACCACATGCTCTACAGGTCTTTACAGCCACAAACTGCCCTTCCCTTCGAATTATGTACAACACAAGTATAGACATTAAAAAAAGACCGTCCTTGAATGCATTCCAGTCTGTTACTACATGTAATTGATACTTAGATGCGAAAATCAACCTCACTGATAAATCTCAGCATGGTGCAAGATGTTAATAGAAAGGCTTGTTTTAGTTACATTGCCTGAAATAATTTTCTAGAAGAAAAAAATAATTATAGTTTATATGGATATATAGAAGGTACCATATTATGTAAGTAGTACATTGTGAATCAATTTTATGTGATTTCTTTTTTGAATAACTCACTTCCAGTTTGAGATTTAAAAATTTATCAAAATCCCATCTGAGTTTTAAATCATGTACCGGGTAGGTATTGAATATTCAATCACTATATGGCATGCACATAATAAATAATATACTGGTTTTATCATTAAGAAATTGCGCCATAGAGACATCAATTGTAAGCTACGTGGTACCAAATTAACATGATTTAAATGAACTACAATGTATATGATAAGAACTGCTCTTATCGTCTAACAGTGTAATATTCCTTTACCTTACTAATTGCCTTCTATTATTAGAAATGCACGTAACGCAGCATTACACAAAAATAGCAGAAAGAGAGTCATGGATTTCCAGTTGCATATTTTTAGAATAACAAGTGGAGTTATCTAACTTGCTTATAGTGGCGCTGGAAACAGAACGGAAGTAAATTTACGGAGACAGAAAGCGCTTTGCGCTTAAAAAGTGCATTTTTTTGTTTTAATTTAATCCTAATTTAAGTTCAGGCAAATCTATTTTCTTTTATTTGACAGAAGAGTTTTAAAAATTTTAAAAGTGGTGCTCAAATTCTCAAAAATTGTTATATTTTAAAGGTATTTTCAAAGTTTTTCAATAGTTAAATTTTATAAGACCAGAATTTTATATGCTGCTGCAATGAATGTAAGGTTTGTTCTATGAACATATAGAAGAAATTTTATTTGTTGAATGTTTTCTTGGTGATGATCTAGCAATTTCAAATCACCGTAAGACTTTTCGAAGTGTATAAAAAAATCAAGCCGGTTTTGTGAACACATGCTGCATAAATTATTTTCTTTTCTACACAGAATTTTATGTCTTAGATCAAAGATTTATGTTTATCTTTACGTGGTTGGTTTAAATCAACTGTGGGACGTGGAGACAAGGAAATGGGTAAGACGTGTTTAATTTTTTTAACAAAAATGAAATTATTTATTTAAAATTTAATATGTACGAGGGTCATTCAAAAAGTTCGTAGACTTTTGTCCTAACTTTTTTATTTAACGTCATTTTGTATCCAAATTTGGTACAAATATTTTAACAACAGAATCAAATAATTTGAGTAAAATAATTGGAATGTATCTTCATATCTAATAAAATTACTAAGGATTTAGAACAGCAAAAATGGGGTCACGGAGCACCGTCAAAATTGAGTAAATTACTATTTTTTACTTTATAGTATTTACAGCCATACCTCTAATAAATGGAGCTGAAACAAAGTAAAATTTACATGTTTAAATAAAGTATTGCTGTATTAATTAAAATGAAATCAGGTTATGTAATATGTCGCTCCATTTAAAAGATATTAGTTTCTAAATACATATGGACTTGATTAAGGACGCTCTAAACACTGCACTACCTAAAGAGTCTTCCGGTAGCTTCGGTATTTTTTGGAACTTGGAGTGATCCGCCCTTCGTATTTATTCGGGAAAAAAAATTCCGTTAATATTCTAAAAATATAAAATGAATTACTCCCCTTTCCGCTCTTTAGGATAAAAAGGTAGGAAAAGAGTGACGAAGATGACAGACAGCATGTCCACTAATTTGACATGTTTGAGAAAAAGGTATAAAAGCGGAAGATTTCGCCCCAAAATAAAGTCTGTTCCAATTCCTACATCTGAAGCAATTCAAAGAAAAACAGAGGTCTCCAGGTAACTGTACGATAGTCATTCTAATTCTAAAACGGCTTTCGGAAACTTGAAAAAAAAAAAAAAAACATCATGTCCTTAGAAGTAATAGTATATTTTGTTTTTATTATATTTATCGAAATTTTGTTAAGGATGGATCATGATTATTCAAGACCCCCAAATCATGGTAAAAATTAGTTAGAATTACAAGCCCTCACCACAGTTAGAATACCACCCATATACTCGTAATGTAGCAAAAAATTGCAGAATCGCAACGAAACGATTTTGAAGGATACAAACGGATTTGCACAGAAAATAACTTATAAATTAATCAAAACAAACCTTTTTGAGATTGCTTATGCCTTTTATCCCAAAAAATAATCCATATAAATACGTAAATCCAATTAATTTTCCCAACGTTTTTCTCTCCATTCAAATGTTTACATTCGGAACTCTCTAGATTGTTCCTAGTAAATGCACTATGCGGGTTATTCTTTTTGCTACATTACGAATACACGGAGGGTAGGACAATATCATTTTAACGATAGAACATTCTATCTAGGTAAAAATATTATGAGTACCAGCATTGACGAGCGTTGGTCGGAATATGATGAAGAGGACGATGATGAATTAGATACATCCGATGAAGATTACAGAGGCGACGATAGAAACGACGATCCGCCCGACGAAACTAATGAGGAAGACACTTTGCACCCAGATGTTTCAAAGAATCTACTTGACTGGCATGAGGTATTTCTAAATGTAAACCTTATATGAGGCATGAGTCCTTTAGACAATGACTGTGTTACTACTCTTTTGCAGGGCAAATTAATCAAGTTAATAATGTATGGAAAAGTTTTTGTTGATAGATATTAAATTATGTATATTTAACAATTGCTTCTACGTCATATTTCACCAAAAAATTTTCCTGCAAAATAATAGTACATTACAGTTATTTTGAAAGGGTCTCTGTTATTTTATAGGTTTGTAAAACAAGTGAAATGTTTGACAATATTATAAAACAACTTCAAAAATAATAGTTTTCTTTTTTCAAGGCTTTCTGCAAGCTACACATTTTACATAGAATGTGCACAAAACATGTAGAATGCAAAAATGAACTTTAGTTTTCATCAATTCCTTTTTCTGTTTTCATTGTCTTATAATGGTATTTTACATATTGATATTTTTTTTATATCAATTTTACTTTCAAACAAATACATGTATCATACAAAGGGTCGTCGAGTGGTTGAACTTGGTGTGCTAGCAGCCCAGCTACAGAAAGGATGCAAGAAATGTGGGACTGTATTACATCTGTGTGATTGTTTTCAAGAGAGGCATTATGGCCTTGGAAGTATTTTGTACATAAAGGTAAATGTCAAATTCATCATCATCAATATAAACACTTATAATAAATGAACTTAAGTTTGTAAGTAATCGCCTCGATTCATATGAAATATTTCATTAATTTTGTAGTGTACTATATGCAGTTTTATTTCAAACATCCCCACTGGAAAGCGGCATGAAAAAAACATTTGGGATGTGAACACTAAGCTTGGTGCAGGTAATTTCAGAAAACTTTGCAATATGATTTAATAATGCAGCATATTTGACAGTGAATAATATTTTATTTTCAATTCATTCTGTGTCTTGTAGGTATTACCAGCAGTGGAATAGGTTTCTCTAATTTACAAATGTTATTTGCTTCATTGAATATCCCTGGTGTAGCGGCTGGAACAGTCAAGAAAAGAGACAGAGAAGCAGGAAAGGCTATTGAATCTGTTGCCAAAAAAAGTTGCAATGAGGCTCTTGATGAAGAAATAAAACTGAATGATGGGTAAATTTTATAAAATTAAATTTTATGAAAAAAATATACCAAATGTCATGATCTCAACACCCTTTTGTCTTTCTTATTTCTCCTATGACAGTGTAGTTTTTTTATTATATATTTTTAGGAAAGTTGAAATAAGAGTTGCGGCTGATGCTGGATGGCAAACAAGATCTAGTGGAAGGAAATATAACAGCTATTCAGGTATGCATTCAAGAAGAAACTTTGAAAAAAAATATTTCTTTTTGAAAATAAAACTTATTTATGAGGTGATTATGAATATATCTCTTTTTATTTTTTTAACCACAGGTCACAGTTCACTAATAGGTGATAAATCTGGGAAAATAGTGCGGTATGATTATAGATGCAGAAAATGCAGACTTTGTGAAAATGCAAAAAGAAAAGGCATTCAGCCCATTGACCATGACTGCAGGTAAAAAGTTGATAAGTATCAAATGTATAATATATAAAAATAAATATGTAAAGTAAAGAAAAAATCAATAGTGATTGAAGGTCACTGCAAAATATTTACATCCACTGAATATTTTCTCCTTTATTTCTGAAGAAAACCCATTGCGTTCATCACTGCATAAACTACAATAGGCATGTCGCTGGTACAGATTTCTTAATCAGTGGCTGTTCGCATCATTAATACAATAATTAATCTTTTTATGAAACTGTTGTCGCCAAAATAAAGACTTCATATTTGGTATTACTTCACTAATAAAGTCCTTTCAAATGACACCAAGGTCAATGCTATGTGACCTTGACTGTGACCTATATGCTAAAAATAGCTTTTTACATTCATAACTTTTTTTAATCTTCATATTTGATATGAAAGTAATTGATCAATATTGTGAAACTGTGACCTATATATAAATAGCTTTTTACAAAACTTTTTAAATGTCTTTATGAAAGTCTTTTCAAAGGACGACAAGGTCAATGATCTTGTGTGTTATTACTACACTTTTTGCCATAACTTTTGAACCAGACAGGGACTTCATATTTGGGATGCATACTCCACCGATTAAGTTCTTTCAAATGACACCATGGTCAATGACCTTGTGACCTTGACTGTGACCTATATGCTAAAAATAGATTTTTTGAACTTTGTTGCCGCCGGGCGCATAGTGTTTCACAAACACATCTTGTTAATCCTACTTTAATTGATTATTAAAACAGATATAAATATAAAAAATAAAATGTCTTTCTCTGTTTGTTATTACTGGAATGAACAGTTGCAGCTATTGCAGAAAAAATTTACATAACCCGCATAAGCGGGTTATGTATTTTTTCTGCAACAGCTGCTTCCGTTCATTCCAGTAATAACAAACAAAGAAAGTATTTTATTGTTTAATTAATACAGTGTATAATATTTATATTTTTCACATGCTTATTTTTATATTTTAATTTCCAGGAAGAATTGGGATGGCTCAGCCAAAGCTATGGAGCCTGACATGATTGTGGGGATGTTGAAAGACTTGGAAAAAGATCATATCCATCCACATGAATTAGTAATGGATGATGACAGTACGACAATTTCACGTGCAAGGAAAGAGTGTGAGCAAAGTATTACAAAATTCAGTGACAGAAATCACCTGAAAAAAACATTTTCAAACAAACTGTATGATTTGCAAAGGTTCAAAAAGTATCAACAACTTAGAGGAAAAACTATGACACATCTAAAGAAATGCTTTTCTTATGTTCTTGCCCAGAACCAGAAAAAACCTGAAGAGTTGAAAAAATCCTTATTGTGTATTATTCCTCATATGTATGGAGACCATCTGGCATGCCCTTCATGGTGTAAATATAAGCGGAATCCAGCAAGTTACCTTCCACGGAATCTTCCATACAGCAGGTATCTAACATGTCCAGAGTTGAAAAAGGACTTGGAAGCCATTATTCAGACGTATGCACAACAAGCTGATAAACTATCTGATCTTGGATCGACACAAGCATGCGAAAGTTTTAATCACATCGTTGCATCAAAAAATCCAAAGAGCCTCTTTCTGTCAGGATCAGAAAGTACAAGTTTCAGAATCGCTGCAGCTGTTGCACAGAAAAACATTGGAAAGTCTTATATACAAGAAGTAAGTATATTTGAATAATCGAAAAAATTATGCAATATAAAATAACCATATACATGTACATGTATTCTCATTTCATGTAAATGAATAATGATTATGTTTACATGTATATTTACAGGTCAATGATGAACTGAATATGTCTCCTGGAGCCTATACAGAAAAGGCGGTTGAAAAGATGGACAGAAAAAGAAAGTTACAGAAGATAAGACAGAGTAGTGCAGAGTACAAGAAAAGGAGATGCCAAATTAGGAAATCCTCAAGTCAAGATCAGGGTTGTAAAGAAGTGCGTGAAGGAAAAACATATGAAACGTCGGTTGGACTAGAGAAAATGGATGAGGAGCAGGACATCAATTCCATTCCAAGTGCCACTGTTGAACCAGAGAGAATACCACTAAGAAATACTGATAGCACATTTGTTTACTTTGACCTAGAAACAACAGGTTTAGGTAAAGTTTTATATACAGATATATATACACATGTATTTCCATGAGACATTGATATATATATATATATCCATTTTTTTTTCTAGAGATACATTGTCTCAGATTTGTCTTATAGGTTCATCAGCAGAAATATTGGAAATAGGAGCTGCAAGAGGACAGGATATATTTCAAAAATACATAAAACCCAATGGTACAATATCTGCAAATGCAACTTGTGTGACTGGTCTCCATATGAAAAACCATGAACTTTACTACAGGGATCAAAAACTTGCAACAACAGACTTGAAATCAGCACTCCAAAAGTTTTCAGAGTGGCTATCGGACTCGAATTCTAACATTCTTGTGAGCCACAATGGATTACGGTTTGACTTTCCATTATTTATTCAAAACATTATGTCACAAAATATTGTGATGAATACATGTATTGCCGGCTTTATCGACACTTTGGAGGTTTTTAAAAATTCTGATTTAAAGACACAAACTGGCAGTTTTTCTCAGGAGTCTCTTATGAGAGATGCAGGAATCCAGTCAACAGGGGTTTCTCATTGTGCTCTAACTGATGCTATGGACCTACAAAATTTAGTGAACTTTCATAACATTCCTTTCAACACTCTGTTGAGTCAAAGTGTCATGTACGATTATGTTTTACAGCATCTAAAGTTTTCATCAGTAAAGAATGACAATTTGAAATCTCTTGACGTCTTAGTCCATGGAAAAGTGATTACAGAATTTATGGCAAATAAAATTGCAAAATCTGGTTTGAATATGAATTATATTAAACTAGCACACACAAGAAATGGTGAAGATGGAGTAAAAAACTTGTTTCAAGAAATTGTAAATGGTAAAGCAAGAGTTACAAAGTGTAAGAAAATAATCAACTCGGTGTTCAATTATTTGTCAAGTCAGTTGTAAAGAGTTACTTCCCTTTGTTTTTATAATTGTAAAGTTATGTTATTTTATTTTTTATCTCTCTTATAAACCTGGCTCCACCATGTAAGACATGAATTTTTGTACACCAAATGGCAAAACCTTTATTTAAATTTGTAGAAAAATTCAGAAATTCCATATATACAAAAAATATCTGTGATTATCCTTACATTTTTTGTAATCTTTTGTATAAAATGTCAAAATATTTCTGAACTGTTGGGGTCATTCTATGTATTTAATTTTTTTTGTATGTTGGTTTATGTAACAATGATGTAGGACTTCGAGAAATTTTGGAGAAAATTATTTATGTAAAAAATAAACATTTTTTCACTTTCCTACATATTCCCTTATTTCTATCATTTTTATTTCATTAAAAAAGGTGGCATCCTTGTATGAAAATAATTTTAAAAAATCATTAATGAACTCAGTTATTAAATATATTTCTACAAAGTCCTAAATTATCCTGATTGTCAGTGTTTAGAGCTCCCTTAAAAAAAAGCAAAAAACCATGACGTTGGTTACGTCACGGAGCAGCAAGTAGCAATAAAATTGTACTTTACATTCGAGAAACTTCTTCTACAAGCTTAAAAATTCCGTATACACCAGGATCTGTATGAAAAATAACCTGTGTATTTGTAATAAATGGAAAATACAGTTTTTTAGTGGTAGCGAGTTTGAATCGGACGATGGATTGCCTACAAAGAAACAGGCTAAAGTTAAAAATATTGTCGAAAGAGTTAGGAACGTCATTGAACGTGATGTGTGTTTCACTGATGTAGAATTAATAGAGTTACATGGTAAATTAAAGAATTTGAAAACAATGACATTCTTATTCGAGCTGTATTTGTATATTTGTTCGCAATCTAGGTGTTAAGTGTTATGGATATGTTTTTTTTAATGGAGAAGACGCTACAAACCGTGTTTGAAATTAAGAAAATTAGTATAATTTTGACAAACTTTCTCAACGTTGTCTTTGACGTTACGATATTGGTTATAACCGTGCTCCGTGGTAACAAAACATATTGGTTTAAATTTTGGCTAACATGAGTTCTATTTAATCAAATGAAATGAAACTTCACACTTCGACAAAATAAATGTTTATATTTACGATAATGTGTTGATTAATATTCTTGCAATAATTATATGACGATGAGAAGCATTGTCTGCGTATTTTTTGAATGACCCTCGTATTAGACCCACTAAAGCCTAAAAAAGCAGATCATAATGCTCGATAGGGTCATCGGAATGATGCGATATTGAACACTTACAGGACAGGCGTTAATTTGAATACCGATTACTAAAAATCATTAATTTGAGTTTTTCTAGTTGGAATAATTATTATTAAATATAAGGACATGTTTAAGCTATATAATAAAGGAGTAATTGAACTTATATTGGTGAATATTGGCACTGGTTGGCTGTACAAATGCACTCGCAAGCTCGTGCATTTGTACAGCTAACTTGTGCCTATATTCACCTCTATAAGTTCAACAACCCTATTATATATTTATCATATACTAATAATTATGTTCAAAGTTTTCATAAAATGTAAAATTTTAAAGACATTGTTTAGTTTTGAAAACATTCTACAAATCCTCTGTCCTCATTTATTGATTATTTTCAAAGACATAAAATTAACTGATCACCTTCTCTTTGGTTGTAAACAAACTTAGAAGTGAAGTCTGTAGTGTGATTAAAGCAAAAGTGAATACGGAGAACACGGTTGTGTTAATTTATCTACAAAGACTAATTATCCCATTAATATTGGTAGAAGGATATGGAGATAATGAACAGTATTCAATATCAAAGTCCATAAAACAATACAAAATAGAACCAGAGCAAACACGGACCTCCGGAACATCAGAGGTGGGATCAGGTGACATGGAGAAGTGAGCATCCCCTGTTGACCGGTCACACCCGCCGTGTGCTCCTTGTCACGACCAGGAAATCACTGGTTTTTCTTTCTCTCTTGTGACGCCTCTTTATGAGTGTAAACTTCTCGCATGGGATACTCACTTCTCCATGGCAACTGATCCCTTCTTTGATGAATAAGAGGTCCCTATTTGGTCTGCTCCTAAATAGTATTGTTTGAATGGATTTTTGAATTTGAATACAATATATTTCATATGTCGGCTAGATATTTACCCACTAAAGTATCAGTCACATTATCCAGCGATGGGGTATACGATGAGAAACCGATGCGTTTTTTGATGAAAATGGTGTGCTTGTCGGCCGGGCACCACTAGTGATCGGACGGTGACTGAGGCCATTTTGCGAATCGGTGGGGTCATCGGTAGGAAATAATTCGTAGTTAAAATTCAGCGATGTCTCGAACGATGCCTCACATCGCTCCTCATCGGCAACCCATCATTAACACATCTTACACGAATCGGCCGATGTATGGCTGAGCATCGTCTAATATCCGTTTAATCTGAGGTCATCGGGGGGTTGAGTGGTGTTCAACAGATAACGGCCGATCATCGGTCGATGTTCGACCAAACATTGGCCCGTAGTCAACCGATGTTCGAACGATGTTCACCAATGTATGAGCGATGTATTATACATCGGCCGATTACCCTTGAACATCGTTTTATGATAAGCAATGCTTCGCTGGGCCTTTGTAAGTCCGGCCGGCAACCACGCCATTTTTATCATAAAACGCATTGGTTGCCCATCGTATACCCATCGCTGGATAATGTGACTGATTCTTTAAGGACTACTAGGCGGATGTGGACCGATGTTGGGGCATCGTTAACACCACGGATAACCACCGATTACCACCGGTCTACGGCTACCGGCCGGGAAATGTGACCTAGGCATAACTAGAAATTATTAAAGTGAAACATATTGAGATAATGAACAGTATTCAAGTTCAAAAGTTCATAAAACAATACAAAAAAAGACCAAGAAAACACGGAGCTCAAAACCTCACAGAAGGTATCAGATGCCATAGAGGAGTAAGCACCCCCTGCCTACCGTTCCTACCCGCCGTGTGCTCCTTGTCATGATCAGGAAATCATTTCAGTCATTTCAGTGTGAATAATAAAAAAAAAAATAACAATTAGTATGAAATATTCAGTCAGCATTTAACTCTATGATAAATTAAATTTGCTGACAACGTCTTTGTGTCGACCATAAAACTTACGAAATAATGACTTTTATCCAGACTACTGGTAATCTTGTTTCATCAACTTGTTTGTCAATAATTAAGCTTATTTTTGACATTGTTCATAAGTACAGCATGTTCTTGCGTACTGAATCAACTGAGATATATAAACTCATGCAGATGATGAGGGTATATTGCTGCATAAGTAAGGGAAGCTGACGATTGAAAAGTTACAGTCATCACGTTTATCATATAGCTTGGTTGTTTGATTACCATTCACGTCTTTTTCAAAATAAAATAACCAAATATAAAACAAATGTGTCAGACTCTGTAGTATCATTTATCTCAAGCTCACCGGGATATATCGTGTCGATATGAGAATGGAAATTACCTATTTTTTATTTACAATACGTTGTAATAAATTTTAATATCGGCAAATGAGGATTTACTTACTTTAAACTTCAATGGCCAAGTAACAACTTATTTATATAACTTTTATGTCATAAATCGAGTTTGAAATTCATATATACAAGGAACCTCAAGATGATTTATAATTATTTCGCAATATTTATGATTTATTTTCTTGCTATATTTCAGGAATAATGTTAATTTGGGAGGTTGCAAAACGCCAAGAAGAAATTTTCCAAACACTGAAAGTGAAACCTTGTGATTTAACTAGTGTGTCTCGTAAAGCGCTTGTCGTGATTAGTAATATTTCTGTTTACTAGCCAGATAGTGAGTAGTGGTTGTCTCGTGGAGCGGGGATATGGTTTTGATACCAGATAATTTATTGAAAGTTACTTATAAGTTCTAGATTTACTAATCTGATCTGGTAAATATATACAAAAACCAAGTAAAGCTACTTTTAAGGTAGTGATTGATCGGCAGTAAATTGACTAGTCTTCTTAGTTACTCTAACTAGAGTTAAGTTATTTTTACAGTGAGGAGGGGTGTAGCCAAGGCAAATATGACAGTAAAACAAAATCGTCACACATTAAAAGTCATAATTTTCTGTTTTGTAACTTCATGAACAGATTTATCAAATTCTGAACAGTAAACATTAAATTAAACAGGAGGCATATTGACCACCTCTTCTTCTGTGCATTGTCGCTTAAATAAATGCGTGAATATATTTTATGAAGGCTATTTGAATCTGTTGTGGATTCTTAATTATCCAGGTAGAATGGAGAGTCTAGAGACAAACTCTCGGGTATCCTTGTCACTCTTTTGACGGCAGCTACAGTACAAAATATACCACTAAGACGATAGTCGCTATTCCCGTCAAAAAGGCGAGAAAACTAAGAAGTACGACCATTTCCGAAGAGAAATCCCACTGACAATCTTCCGTTCATTGAAAAAATTGGTTGCCTGCAATTAAAGAAAAGAAGCATATCAGTCCAATATGTGTAGTTTTAATTTAAAAATAATGAAAGAAATACGCACGCTAACTCTCGATTCCCGCCTACATTTTGCAACCATTTATTTCAATATAAATGGCAATTTTGCCATAAATTCTTTGTTTTATACAAGAACAGTTTAATGGAAATTAATGAATTGTCTTAATACCAACACTAAATAGTAAATTATCCACAACTCCAGCTCATGAAAAAGGGGGGTAGAAGATATTTTCCATTGAAATTGGACTTTGGGGCATGAGCTTATTTTGAAATAGTCTCGGATATGATTAAATATTCCGTAAGTCTTTTCTTATAATTTGGGCTAATAACTAAAACATAAATATATTAATAAAATATAATGTTTGTGAATCGCTTTGAAATTGGTGGAAAATAAGCAATTTTTTTGTCATTAAACATATATATGCCCCCTACCCCCCGTGACACACAAAAAGCTTTGGTATGAATTTGTGGATAAAACAGTCCATATTACCATATTACCTGTAAGAAGGAAATTTTGTGTGACGGGTGGGGGGATTAAAATGTTTTCCGTTTACCGTTGATTTCTATAGTAAAAAACACAACTTTTACCAAAATTTTAGAGTTATCTTTCTTTGTTTTCCAAAATAAGTCATGTTTTATGAAAATCTACATAACTATCTATAAAACATATTAAAAATTTATCGAATATGTTAACTTTTGAAAATTGACTTGTGGGTAGGCGGAAGAACAATGCTATCGTTCTTTAAATGTATCATGATAAAATGAATACATGCATGAACACTTGCAACATCAAACGGAATAACTATGATAATGAAAACCTCTATAAATATATATATTTAACGTATATAGTGCATTCATGTTAGTTTAAGATTTGTTGGTTGTAAAATGAGCTTCATAAATAACTTTAATTTCATCGCGCCTAAATGCAATATGTATGTCGGTAACGATTTTTTGATGAAACTAAACAAATATCTCACTTCCATTCTCGATGACTTTATGATATAGGGCGGCGCTGCGAGAAATCCATCGGCATCGAAAGCTAGTTTTATGCGCCCCTAAACGAAGTCCTGTCCGTCTGTCTATCTGTCGGTGACTTTGTCTAGCTGTTTGTCTGTTCGTCCACTAAATTTAAACCTTGTTCATTACTTTTGTGACTGGATTGGGCTATGGCTTCCATATTTCAAATGTGTATACCTTGTAACACGACATCTCTTCGGGTACCACCAAATTTACCTCTTGACCTTGACCTTAGAGTTTGACCTACTTTTACAAAAAATACCACACTTTCACCTTGGCTATAAATTTTGAACAGTTTGAGCTAGGGCTTTCATACTTCACACATGTGTATTAATTGTAATGAGACCTTTCAGTGGGTATAAATATTTTTTATTTTGACCTCAGAGTTTGACCTTGGACTTTGGAGTTTGACGTGCATTAGTGAAAATTCAATTAGGTGATATCTCCTATTTGATTTGAATCAGTGATATCACCAATTCGAAAAACACAGCACGGTTAAAGTTACAAGGGGGGAGAGAGTCTAATTTAAACGGGAAAACTTAACTAGGTCATCATACAAAACCAGCAATTCATTAAAATACCACAAAATGAGGTGATTTGCTAATTTATTATTTTAATATTGTTGATATTTCCATTGCGCACCTTAACTGTACTGCAAAGTGATATCACTTATTCGAATAGGTGATATCACATTTTCAAATTAAATAGTTGATATCACATATTCGAATAGGTAAAATTTTCTATTCGAAAATGTGATATCACCTTATCACATTTTGCATAGGTGATATCACTTATTCGAAAAGGTGATATCACCTATTTAAATTAATTATGAAACAAGTTCCTGTCCTTAAAAAGGACTACAATACGTGGACCAGATGTATGTGTTTCACAACGAAATTCAATTAGAGAAAATTTCTAGGTATTAAATATTCATTTAGATTCGTTGACTTTTCTACAATGATCTGCCTACTTTGCAATTGATTGATACACTTTCATAGCAAAATTGTTAAATTTTTTCTCCGAGTAGCCTATAGTTTTATCATTTTTATAAATCGGGCTATTTCAATACATTGAACCCATAAAAAAGAATTTGCCATGAAATCTTATACTACACTTCATATGACCTCCGACCCCCTTGCCTTCTTAAAAGGAAAAAGAAATGCATATTAAACTTAAAAACAATAATTTCGAATATGTTTTCCAGTATTGTTATCATACATTTTAATTCATCTTTAATCAACAAGTTACCAAAATATTGTGTGACTTTAACTTTAACTGACAATTCCTGATTTATTGAAATTGATATGTTGACCCCCCCCCCCCCAAAAAAAATAAAAATTAAAAAAATTAAAAATTCTTATAATCTCTCTTGCGCATCAGTAAACAGACTTGATTTTTCTGTGCATTAAGATTACCAGAACATTTATGCTTCTCATAGGATTATTATTTAACCCCTAGTATTAATGGCTGAGGGTGGCTGTATAATTCCAAAGCCAACAAATCCCTTCACTCAATGAATCCCACGAATTTTCGATTTAGGATAGAATGTACAGAATCCAACTGGTTTGGTACACGTGAATGTTTGTAAGAAAGTCTCGACAAACACTAGCTACATTTTCCAAGTGTGTACATGCTTAAAACATTCCGCATACGACGCGATAATGACCTTTCAACCTTGCCTCTAATATAAAACGGTCAAATTTAATTTCACTGATACTAGTCACTTACTGATATTGTCTTCTTGATTCTGTGAAAGTGTGCGCGTATGAGTGTAATAATGGACGTAAAGTTGCCACGCTCGGGACCCAAATAAGAGAAGAGAGTTTCTGTCAATTTAAGGGTGAAAAAATGAGTATGATTCTCTGCACATATAAATATCGGTTTCAGTGATAATGCCTTGACAATAACCGAGGTGGCGTGATGAAAACGTCTATCTTGATGTTACACTGTTACACGCCAACGTCACCGTCATGGTTGGTTGGAAACCTTTTACGCATATTATGTTCTTATGCGTTTCTTTTTCGTTTCAGTATATATTTACTTGTATACTCTATGCGATGGGATGCTCTGCCCCTGTTTACAAAGCTAGCCTCTCTTCAGTTTTACCTCGTTTGCAAAGTAAATGGCGCCGATTCCTAATAATATATTACAGCAAAAGCAGCTGAGGATTCCAAACATCCAGGCCAAATCAGCAGTCTCCTTCCGGTCTGTCTGTTCAACAATGGGAGTGGGAGAAAACTGAAACAACAAACAGGTCAATTTGTCAAATATATTAATGGTCACTCTCATTTCAATCCTATTAAAAGTTTTCTCATCAGGAAAGACATAGTTGAATACATATATGTACCATGAAAGGCGAAAATGTATGTCTGGAGCTGGAATGGAAACCGGGACCTCTGCATCACAAATCAGATGCTCTACCACTGAATTCTATCGCCTAAACATATTACACTCTTTAATTGTCATCTCTCTTGAAGACACAATCCAAGTTTTCATTCCCCTGGCAGGACGTTTGCCTGCAAGTCCAGGGGTAGTCAACGACACCAAATAATGTATAATGTATCATTTTTAAAAAGGAGAAAACATATGGCTGGTTCACCATCCTGCACCACTTGACATGCGCTCTGAGTTATCCAGACCGATATTCACTACCCAATGCATCGCACATTGAGCTTTGGTACAAAGCCTCATTTTTGCTACCTTTTCATATAAGGAATCGTAGTTGCACATTAAAAAAAACTTAATAAATGTGATAATTATATATAAAAAAATATTTACTCTTATTTCTAAACGTTCATTAATGTGCTTTATACAAATATAGTAAAGGTCATTTTGAATTTCATCCAGTGGGCTTTGATATTTTAAAATGTTGAGTTCCATATATTATAAATATTTTACCTGTCTCTCTGGCTGTGTGGTTGTAATGGTCCTTTCGTAATCTACAGAAAAGGTAATAATAATATCATCATTTCATGGATTTTTTGGTACATGTGATGTCAGCTGAAAGCATTCTAACTGCTTTTCAGTACATTCAGTACTTTGATTAATTAATCGCAGAGAATGGCTGAATCAAGTGCACGCTTTGATATTATTGATATTATTTAGAATAAAACCGATATTTTTATGCTACATGTAGGCAATTTAAAATATGAATAATTTTATTGAAAACTTAAGGAATATAAAAATAATCAACTGACTCACGTTTTTCAGCTTGTTCCTCCGTCTCTGAGAGCAACAAGGCTTCATGCATACTAGAGTACATGTCCTGAAAGAAATTCTATGTTATTTTACTTTTACTAAAATCAGCAAGAGTGACTGTAATATCAGAATATAAAACAGAATCACAAACCTGTTTCGGTTTGGTGTTATTTAGTGGAAATCTAAACACAAAGAAACAGGAAGTTTTTGATTATTTGAGGATTTACCTGGCACAAAAATACAGGATATTGAAGCAATTACATAAAAAAATTCTCTAAATGGTAATCAATAAACTAAGAGTACCGTGAGTACCGAGAGGTGGAAGCATTATTTCATGTTCTTGGGCACATTCTAAATATGCTTATCAAGAAAAAAATGTGCATTCTTTTGAGTCCTTTGTTTTACTTTAATCCTAATTTAAGTTCAGGCAAATCTATTTTCTTTTATTTGACAGAAGAGTTTTAAAAATATTAAAAGTGGTGCTCAAATTCTCAAAAATTGTTAAATTTTAAAGGTATTTTCAAAGTTTTTCAATAAATTAAATTTTATGATCCCAGGATTTTATGCTGCTTTAATGAATGTAAGACTTGTTCTATGAAATAACAAATACTTAAAAGTTTTCATGCCTTGACTACGAAATTTGATTTTTTTTTTGGTAAGTTTGTGAACACATTCTGCATAAATTATTTTCTTTTCTACAGAATTTTATGTCATACTCCAAAGATTTATGTTGATCCTGATGTGGTTGGTTTGAATCCACTGTGGGACGTGGAGACGGGGAAATGGGTAAGATGTGTTTATTTATTTTTTTTTTTTTTTTGCACAAAAATGAAATTATTTATTTAAAATTTAGAATGTATTAGACCCATTAAAGCCTAAACAAGCAAATCATAACGCTCGCTAGGGTCATCGGAATGATGCGTTAGTATTTACATTTTCAATAAATTTCCCCTATGATTCTTTACAAAATAAAATGCAGTATATTTTCTCATGAACTACATTAGGTATGTACCACGAATAAGCATGAATATCTCCATTGTTACGTCATAATACCGCTCTTGACGTCAAAAAGTAAAAAAATATAGTGCACACTGTTTTGTTTTAAAAATGACAGTTGAACGGCGTAAATTTATGGCAAGTCATCACAAAAATGTAAATATAAGAAATGAATTTAATTTTTGAAGATTCATGACGCTTATGAATCACGCCGGTATATTTATCATGAAGCGCTAACGCGCTTCATGAAATATGCCGGCGTGAAGCGTCGTAGTTCATAACCTTATGAATCTTCAAAAATTAAATTCATTTCTTAATTGAACACTTACAGGACAGGCGTTAATTTGAATACCTCTTACTAAACTTATAAGTGAAGTCTGTAATGTGATCAAAGCAAAAGTGAATACGGAGAACACAGTTGTGTTAATTTATCTACAAAGACTAATTATCAAATTAATATTGGTCTTTCTTTCTCTCTTGTGACGCCTCTTTATGAGTGTAAAATTCTCGCATCGAATGTAAAACAATATACAATCAATCGCTCTGTACAGTACCACGACACATTGGAGAAGTGGCGTAAATCAAATGTGGATACTTAAAAAAATATCCATCAAATTTTATCAAAATCGATAACCTTAGAACGTATGACTTTTCAACACTTCATACAACCATTGCCCACGATAAAGTTAATGTTTTTTGACATCAAGACATTCTGCTTTATAATAAAACTGGATCTTTTAATTTCACTTACATTGTTATTTTGTTAATAAAAGAGCATTCTAGACTTCAGTACTCCGAGGTTGATATCAAAGAGATGTTGAAGCTTCCTATTGACAACAGTATATTAATCACAATATTTGTACTACCAGGGTATTTAGATTTTTGAAACATAACTATGACTATGATTAACCTGCATGAGTAGTTAGTCAGTTTCATATCTCCTTCTTTAAACCAGATATAGCATATGGCAGGCTGAGGGTGTTTGAATAACTTCCTGAGGTCGACCTCTCTAGAACGAGCTACATAGTAAGTACATGTATATCAGACCATCGCTACTTTTATTTCGTCTCTTTCGTTAAGGACTATATGTGGTAAGAGCCAATTTTGGCCCCCTAAAAATCAACATTTAAGAAATAAATAACAAGTTTATAAACTTCAATGGGAATTGAAGCCTAAGCAAGCAAATCAAATCCTGTGAAGGCCGAAGGCCTTCTCAGAAGATTTGATCACGTTCATTTGAACACCGCTTCAAATCCCATTTGAAGTTTATAAACTTGTTATTTATTACTTATATATACATTTGAGACAGACAATTGAATATTTTCGAATTTAAATTATTGCACTAACCGTCCGTCGTAGATTTTGAAAAATGACGCAAGATGTAAATCGGCTTGCATGGCGGTTACGCTTCGAATTCACCAGGCTAAGGAATCTATTTCGAAGGGAATATTTTGTGAACGGCTACTTGTGATCAGTAATAGTGAACAGATTTTTGTCTGGGAATATTTTATTCGTGAAAAATGATAATCGGTGCTTAAAAGACACAAGAAACACGTCCGAAGTTTGATGATAAAAAGTTGGAGGAATTTCGGTCGCTGGAAAGGGATGGATGGATTTATGGACTAAGACATTGTCCGAGCCAGTTAATTTGCAATTTGATCAAAAACATTCCACGGTTTCAGTAACTAAAGGCATACTTATCGTAAAACACTGATAAACATGGGAGACTGGCGTAGCTTTACATTGAACTACGAAAAAAAGGTGTTTGGCAGCTTATCAAAATGGCATGATTGCAAAGATATTTTCCAACAGATTTACACATTTATCGTGAGTAAAATTTAAAGATAAAATAAAAGTTTAGCATGAAAATTTAACCAAAGGTCTATCCAAAAAAGGATGAACGTTAGAGACTGTGCAGCTGACAAAAGTGAAAAATGTAAACAAACGCTAGGCTCCTAGCCTAGTTTTCTCTATGTACACAGGTTAAATCGATAGCCCAAAAACTGTATGAAATACTTTTTTACATTTAAAATAAAATAATTATCATTTTAATTGCTTATTTTATTCATTTTTATACATGAAAAGCAAGTAGAGCAGGTCATTTTATAATTTATGTACAGGTAGATATTACTGCGCCGTGTGATTAGGTCACGTATTGACCTCTGACCTCTGACAAACTTCATACAGAATTGAAGATATTTTCTCTCTGTATGTTTATATAATGGAAAAATACCACAAATGTATATATATTAGAATGATATTCAGAATTGTTTAAATGACATTTATTTTGCAAGAGATTATATTAGAAATATGTTCAATATATTTTTCACATTTATATGCACTTACTGGCTGTAAATGACATGAGAAAGAATGCTATTTTTGCTATCTAACAAAATAAGCCAAAAATATGCCTTTTTCTTGATTTTTTTTATGGAAAACATAGAGCGCAGTGTAGAACATACATAATTTTTCTGTTACTATTTAGTATAGGATAGATACATCCTTGGTAAAAATATAAAGTTTGTTCTAGGTTGCGCTCTATGTTTTCTGGAAGAAAAACTGCTTGAAAATAAGTAGTTTTATACAAATTATGCTAAATTAGCGGGAAAATGTGAACTTTATGATGTCACATTTCTAAATTAACGGCATTTTGATCAAATTAAAAATGATCAATAAAGGTCGCATGTATAGCTGTACAAATTAAAGCTATATATAAAGTTAAGTTAAGATATTCATTTAAGGGACCATTTGAGACACTTATCATATATTGCTATGATATACTATATATTACTGACTAAACCATTTAATTAACCTGTTAAATCTTTCTTTGAAAGCAATGAAAAATCATACGGATGCTATAGAATTTGAATTCTTCCTTAAAATGTGCATGATTTTGAGAACGTATTTAGGGTATTTTTAAAGATAATTTATAAATAAATCAAAAGGGAAATTTGAAGGTTACCTGTCGTGTCCCTTAAGTAGCAGAGGTTTTTCATGAATGAGGATTTATACAGATGTATTTAATGTGAGAAAAATATTTTTAACTGTGGCTTTCAATTTGCCATTTCGAGGTAAATTATTGACAAGCAAGTTGATGAAACAAGAATATCAGTAGTCTCGTTTATAGTCATCATTTCGTAAGTTTATGGTCGATACAATGGGCTTGTCAGCAAATACAATTTATCATTGAGTCAAATTCTGACTGACGTTTTTCATACCAATTGTTAGTCCATTATTTATACATTGAATTGACGACGGATTTTTTCCGTTATTTTCTGATCATGACAAGGAGCACGCAGCGGGTGTGACCGGTCGGCAGGGGATGCTCACTCTTCCATGGCACCTGATCCCACCTCTGATGTATCTAGGGTGCGTGTTTGCTCTGCTCTTATTTTGTATTGTTTTATGGACTTTGAGATTGAATACTGTTCGTTATCTCCATATCCTTCTTCGTTTATTCGCTTTCGTTTCAATGATTGTGAAAATGAATTAATTTTAATTTCCAAGTTCTACGGTCAATACGATGACCTTACTTTAAACATATTTTATTGAATAATTCAATAAGGATTGGGCAACAGGCAAGGCCTATGTACACCCTCTCCTTTATAATAGGTCAAGATACAATAGTAAGTAATACATGTACATGATAATCAATAAAATCATAATGAAAAATAAAGATTCACAATCAAGTATTATTTATCAATATTATGTTTCAAAAAGATGACAACCCCCTAACTGTATACATATTATTTACATACAGTTCCAGCTTAAAAATAATACAAATATTTGGAAAAAATTATGCATTTAATAGAATATTTAATATAACAGTGTCCCTAATTTAGTCTCTTAGAAGATTTAATAAAATCTTGTACATATGAAAATATTTTACGATTTGTTTGATAAGAGTATTGATATACATGTATATAATGCAAGATAGGTAATGAAGGAGAGTTTTTTTTACATCTTCACTAAGACTGTTCTTAAGTTTTATGGTTGAGGGAATAAAACTATTGTAGTACGAGATTGTTTTGCAAACTAGTATACATAAGTTATTACATCCAGACCTTAGGTTGTGTAACGTTTCCGCCTGTTCCAGGGTTTGTTACAATGAAAATAAGTTATTGTGGGTCTCCTGTTTCTGAATTTTACCCTTTAACTCTAAATGAAAAGTCAGGTTGTAAATTTATAAAATTTATTATGGTGAAAACAATGAATAACAAATAACAACAAAAATGATTGGCAATTA